TGAGTCACATTGAGGAGCCTTAGTGTAGGTCACAGGTTCTCCTGATGTGACTTTTAGAAATTTATAGATATAGGTTTTAAGAAATTAGTTTATATAGATTAAGAAAAATTAAGTAACCATTTTATTATAGAAGTATGATTAGTTCAGTTTGATTTAGGGGGGCCAGTGAAGTTTGAATTAGACCATCTGATACTAGGGGAGTGTAACCATAGCAGCAACTGTTTTTATAAAAACTAGTTTGAATTAGTACATAATAGTGGAAGTTAAAAATTCACTATGGTGGTTTCAGGATTAGACATTGAGTGATGATAATTTAAGATGATGTAGTTGTAATACAATTAAGGGCATGTAAGAAACTGGTTTGGGGAACATTAAGTTAGCATAAGATACAAAAAGACAATTTGTGGTTGTTCTTCCTCATGTTCTTCCTCATGTTCTTTCTTATGTATGAAAGAACATTTGCTTGAGAGTGGGGGGTGTCCTTTGTGCACCCGGACCTGTTCATGTGAAAGGCACATGCTACCATTGTTTCCTGTGATGGTGACTTTGCAGAGTTTGGGGATAAAAGCCCTGAGATTACACCCATTAAATGGCGTCCGGTCACCTGAGCAGGAGTCCAGTCTCTTTCTTTCTCCCCTCTTCTCTTTCTTTCTCTTTATCTTTCCAGAATAATCGCCAACATTGCCACAACTTCCAAGGGACCCCCTAAATCTCTCTGTGGTGGTTGGCCCCCTGTAGGAACTGTGGGTGAGAAGAACTGGGGAAAACAAGAGTCACCCCATCCAGAAGAAAGGGCAGAAATACAGAGACCTGCACCTCACATGGAGGATGAACAGAGACTCCCGAGAGAGCTCACTGAGACCATAGGTCATGACGTTGCCATGGAATTTAGCTCAGTGAGATCAGACAATTCCTCTTAGTCCATCCCCTTCCATCACATTAAAAACTGTCAAGTATAAAACTTGAATGCACCTGAGAAAGCTGAAGATGATTGTCTCTAGGATAATACAATGTAAATACACAAGGCCTAAGGAAGCTTAATCAGAGTACCACCCGAGGAATGGGAACACTCTTGCACTCATAACAGGGAGAAGATTCAAATTATATAATGACTTCATTCAGTTTCAAATTCAGACATGACTAGATTTACACAAACTTTCACAATAAAGACCGGGTAAATACAGGGTTCATTCATACATTGGAAGAAAAACACAAAGCATAAAACAGTAAACCAACATCAACCATGAAACCCCAAATGTCTGATTATCAAGAAAACAATATAGAGTATAAAAAATATAAATAAACTGGTTATAATGAGCAGATGATCAGAACGAATGCATAATGACCCAATTATTACAGTATTTAATTTAAAATGTTCAATATTAAAAGGGAAACAGATGTTGCATAAACAGGTAACATGTGCTGAAGGAGAGAAATATTAAACAAGTGTCAAGTAAGGCCTCAACATTCTCGGAAAGTTGTCCTCTGCTTGCTAACTCCTGTGATCAGTGTGTCTCTGGTATTTGCATTCATTGAATTAATAAATCTCCCCGGATCTCCATCTCCTATTAAGATATCTGTAAGCTTCATAACTTTTTAAATGCATTTCTTTTTGATGTGTTAAGTTATGTAAATGCTACACTTACAATGCTATCCTGAAAGGCACAAGGATATTTCTTGCTAAATTCTGATTTTAACGCTTATCATATTTTTGTTTTGATATACATAAGACCCCATTCCTGAGAAGAAACGTGTACCCCAAAGTATTGTGCACCTGCTAAAGGTGAGGACTTGTCTAGGTACATTCTAAGCACTCTCTGCTGTCCAATCCCAGTCATCAATGGAGGTTCCCTCAGGGCTTATGGAGCATGTTCTTCTCAGCATCTTTAGCCCAGTTATAAAGTGGCTAAGCCCTGGTTCATAATGCTTCTTCATTCACACGATACTCTTTTGAAATTATTACTTCAAATAGTGAATTTCCCTTACTAAACACAGTTAATTCTGCAAGGAGACCTAGAGCAAGGACTTCATGGAACCACGAAGGAACTTCTTTTCTGGAGATGCCAGATGCACTGATACAGTCAATATACATGATCACTCCAGAAACTACAGGTAAATAGGGGGTAGCCTTTTTTTCTCTTTTTAGACCCTCTTGTTAAAGATCACACACACGCAAAAAAAATCACACCAAATAGTAGCTTCACACACAGATATGTGTGGCTCAAATCAATACAATCAAATCACACAAACACACAGTATTTCATTTTCACAGTACTGGATCCCTAGTATATCCTTTTGCCTTGTATCTAGGCCAAATACCCCAACACTGACCTAGATCTGGATGTGTAATTTTCTGTGTTATGCAGAGTCAAAGCTAACACAGTACAAGTTTAAACATGGGAGGTGCATGGAATTTGTATTTGCCTGTTCTCACCTGGAAATTCTGTAAATGCCCTTCATGTGTCATAGTTTCTGGTAAACTAATTTTATTAAGTGTTTGACTCTATTTTAAATTGTATTTTCTTCTGATTTGTAGTTTTTCTGTCAATACTCTAATTGAGATCTAATTTTATTAAATAGTATATGCTATTTTTCGTTTACCATAATAAATTTAATTTAAATTTCATTATTCAGATAAAACTCCAAGACTTTTATGAAAAATGGCCACTTCTAGGACTTGGTATGACTTGCAACATCCTGTAGCACCAGACCATAAATTCAAGCTGAAAAGATGAACGAACAAGTTGTATAAAGTGACTTGTAGCTGATGTAATGGGTCCTCTGTGATGTTGGTTGTGTGTGTCAACTTGGAATCTGTTTTTTGATGAGATTAATATTAAACAAGTGAAGTATTAACCCAGTCTTATGAGTGTCTGGGGTCTCATCCAATGAATAGATGCATAAAACAAAAATACAAGCCTCTGTCTACAAGAATACATTTTCTAGAATATTTCCTTAAGCAGTCGTGTAGACCATATGACATCCTGGATCAGCAGGCTTTCCATATTCTGACTGGAGCTGTTCTATTGTTTTCTTGGTTTGTTTCCTACCTGAAATGCTTCTTAATAAAACTACCTATTTTCCATTCCTAATTTCTCTGACTCATAGCCATGTATATCATGGGCTGTACTGGGTCTCCAAGCTACCAGACCTAGGACTGGTTGTTTTTTGGTTTATTAATGTCAGGCTTCTGACTGGATCTAAAACTTGCCTTTTCAAATTTCCAGACTGCCAGCCTTCTCTGTGGTAGTACATTATTGGTCTTTCATTATAATTGACTGCTAACCTTCTGACTGGGGCTACATCCTGAGCTTTCTTGGGTCATTGCCTACCTGTTTCTGACAGGAAGTACACCATTGTCTCTCCAGATCACCAGCCTCCTAACTGATACATTGTCAAATGCTGTCCTGGGTACACAGGTGGCAAGACTCTGAGTAACAACTGCATTATTGTTTCTTCTAAATCCCCATTCTGAAAAGAAGCTGCAAATCTTTGACATCACAGCTATCATATTTGTGTAAGACATTCTCTATATTATTTCTATTCCTTCTGGTAATGTGAGATATAGTTTAATCCACTCCATCTAGACATTTAAGGTGTACTATTAAAATATCAATTTTAAATCTTTCCATTGTAATGTATATAATATATTTTTGAGTCAGGGTCTATCTCTGTTACCTAGGATCACTAAGATTGTGGCTCAAGGAAGCCTCAAACTCCTGGATTCAGGCAATCCTTCCACCACATCCTGAGTAACTTGAACTACAGACATACAGCACTACACGTAGCTAATTTTAAATTTTAAATTTTAATTTTAGAGTTGAGATTTCCCTTTTTTGTCCAGGCTGGTATAATACTCATGGGATCAAGCTATCTGCCCATTTAGTCCTCTCAAAGTGCAGGTTTTGCAAGTCTATAATGTATATTTTTACTAGTATACATTTTCTTCTTAATGGGAATCTCATATGTTTCAGGGAACCTCATTTATTTTGATAAGCTGAATTTATATTTTGATTGAATTCAAGATATGTTCCATTTTCTTTGTGATTTGTTTTGAATATGCCCTTTGTATAATCATGCAGTTTCTAATTTCCACATGCTTGTTATTTTTTCATTATTCTTTATATATTTCTTTTCTAGTTTTCATCTATTGTAATCAGAGGGGAGTACATTGTATTATTTGATTTTTATATTCATTGAAGGGTACAGGTTTCCTTCTTTATGATATACCTTGAAGAATATTCTGTATGCACTTTACAAAAATGGGTAATCTGTTTAAACCAATTTTCTATTCTGCACAAGCCTATACAGATTAACTGCCTCATGGTGTTGTTAGTCTTCTGTTTTTTTGTTTGTTTGTTTGTTTTGAGTTGGAGTCTCACTCAGTCACCCAGACTGGAGTGCAGTGGCTGATCCCGGCCACCACAGCCTCACCTGCTGGGCTCCGGTGATCCTTCCGCCTCAGCCTTCTGAGTAGCTGGAATTACAGGCATGTGCTACTACGCCCGGCTGATTTTTTGATTTATTGTAGAGATGAGGTCTCACTGCCCAGGTGGGTCTTGAACCCACGGGTCGGCAATCCACTCACCTCAACCTCCCAAAGGCACGGGATTACAGGCTGAGCCACCGAGCCCAGCTAAAGTCTTCTGTTTTATTATCTTTATTCAAACATTGTGTTCATTACTGAATTTGGAATACTCACATCTTCAACTATTATTCCAGAATTCTGTTTCTCCTTTCAGTTTTATTAATTTTTAGTTTCATATATTTTGGTTTCTGTTTTTCTGTAATCTATTTCCTTATTGGGCTGCCATTTTACTAAATATGAAATGTATTTATATAACTCTTATAATAGTATTTGTCATTCTGCAACCTTCATGGAACTGTCTGTATCAGTGTTAGTGTTTGCCATTCTTCACACTGTTAATTTTGTTTACTGGGTGATTACTGTATGGAGTATATCTTGTATAATTAGAGTCAATACATGTTTCTATTGTTCCTTTTTCTAAGATAATAACATCATTTTCTACACAATATAATACCTCAGAATGCCTGTCATCCCCTCAACCCGGAACAGCTGCCTTTTCCCTCAGGGTTTCTGACACTCTCAGGATGTGGGTTTTCACACTGTGTCTCTCGCGCAGTAATACACGGCCGTGTCCTCAGGGCTCAGACTGCTCAGCTCCATGCAGGCTGTGCTTGTGGATGTGTCCCTGGTCATTTTGACTCTGCCCTGGAACTTCTGTGCATAGTCTGTGTTTCCATTATTGGTGTTGACCCATCCCATCCACTCAAGGCCTTGTCCAGGAGCCTGTCGCACCCATGTAATATCATAGTTGGTGAAGGTGTATCCAGAAGCCTTGCAGGAAACCTTCACTGAGGCCCCAGGCTTCCTCACCTCAGCCCCAGATTGCACCAGTTGGACCTGGGAGTGGACACCTGTGTAGAGAAGACATAAAAATATAAAATCTTTCTTTACATGCCCTGATACGCTCCTCAGACTTGAAATTGAAAAGTCACTTACCTGTAGCTGCTGCCACCAAGAATAGGAATCTCAAGCTCCAGTCCATGATGAGGATCTGTGCTATCAGGGGCTTCTCTATGGGAGAGATGTTTTGTTAAGTGAGGCTCTCTGAACACAGACACATCTGTATTTACCACAGTAGAACTCACATTATTTGCATATTAGTGAGGTAGAATAATTTATAACTGAATACCTGGTGCTGCACGACATAAAGAGAAGTTTGGTAATACATGAGTCAGTATATTGAGGTTCAAGTACTCGTCCTTGTTTAATGATGCATGCCTACTAGCATGGTCAGAAGCTTGCAATGACAGAAATTCACCACTACAAAACCAGTCCCACAGCACATGCTTCTCAATTTGAGTATATATTCAAAAGGCACACTGACAATCTCAAAATTTTGTAGGATTTGCCCTTTGCAAGCTCAAATCCAAGGATAAGTTTGTCCTATGATACTTTGAATTAATAAAATTATCCATTTCTTATTTTCTAGCTATGAATATATCTGAAATCACTGTAATTTACTGTTTTAAGATGCAGTCTCCTTAGTGTGTTGGGTTTGATAAATGCTCCAAATACAATAGAACACTTAAGGACACATCAACAGTCTTTGACAAATTATTATTTTTGTACCATTTTTTTAAAGTAAAGAAGATTCAGACCCTGATAGGTAACCCCTCCTCATCCTTCTGAGTACATGTTCCAGGACTGGAGAATGCTGGGTGGGTTCTGAGGCCACCCTACAACCCTCCCCCCACTCTGCATGGAGGTTACCTCTGGATTTACAGAACATGTTCTTCTCAGTGTCTCTAGTGCAGTATGAAGTGGGCATGCCATGGTTCACAATGACACATTGTAATTCTCACACCACCTCTTCAAATAATAAGTTGACCTCACAAAACAGTTAATTCTGCATGGTGACCTTCAAGCAAGGATTTTATGAAATGTTCAGGGAAAAATTCCTTGGGGCTGCCAGATTCACAGATACAGTTAACACACACGGATATTTAAAAAACACTCAGAAAAATTGCGGGAACCTTTCATATCTTTAGAATATTTGAGTAAAGATAACATTTGATAGTACTTTCACAGACAGAACTGCCATGGATTAAAGCCCCCCCACCCCGCTCATGTCAAATACCTACACAAAGTGTTGCTTCTTTCCAAAGTATTAGGTCCCCAGTTTTCCTAGGTCTTGGGTATATGACTTCCTTCTGAAGCCAAACCTAAAGAACATAGGATACAAGTGGACACTTTGAAAGGCATATACATTCGGCTCACCTGTTCTCACCTGGGAACCCTGCTGATGACCCGTAATAAATGAATCTGAGGCCAATAAGTGAGAGTCTTGACTTTAGTCTGGAAGTTGTTGGTGTCAGGGGCTTCAGAGTGCTCTACAATTTTTGAATTTTTCTGTTTTATTTTCTTTTGGTTTCCATAAGCTCTACTCTTCAGATAAAGTTGTACATTGGACACAATAATTTTTAATCCAGGATAATTATACTGGTGAGGAGTAAAGTGTGGGTCAGAGGAGTGCTACATGTTCTTCCAATTGAATCTGAAGGATTTAGAGGTCCTTTTCCTCTAGGCTGCGATCGTACAAGGATTTCCAATGATAAAGCAAATTTCTTCCCTTCCTTTACTCCCCTTCCTGGCCACATCTTCCCCAGATTATTCTACTAAATCTTACCCCAATTGTGCACATAAATGTGTCTTTTTGTATGGCACAGTAGGGCTGGGAGGAAGCAACTTACAATGAAATAATTTTTCTTCCCACACATAGGATACAATTTTTGGAAAGCCCTTACCTTGTAGGTTCTGTCTAAAGAATATTCTGAATATATTTCATAAACCTCAGATATACTAATCGCAAACACATGAAGAAAATATATGTATTGACACCTTTAGAACCAGTGGCTTTTGTGTGGGAAAGTCCACAAGAGTGTGGCATGTGGGGTCCCAGGAACTCTCACCTCAAATTTGTCCATAGTTGTCCTCTGCACCATCATAGTGACAGAACTATCACGTTCCTTGTCATAAGTAAATGCATGTCCAGGAAAAGCCTAACCTCTTAGCTAACCAATGGTAAAGAGATGGTAATCAAAGCCAGAATCAGAACCTGCAGCCCATCCTTCACGTCATGCTTAGCAAAATAATCATTATACAAAACTGTCAAGATTCCCATCAAAAGCAAAGTCACTGTCTTTCTCTTAAGATGACCATCTCTCTCTCTCTCTCTCTCTCTCTCACTCTCTCTCTCTCTCTCACTCTCTCTCTCTCTCTCTCTCTCTCTCTCTCTCTCTCACACACACACACACACACAGACACACACAAACTCTGTCTTAACATTATGCTAGGTAAGCTCTGAAATGTTTTTCTGTGATGGATCAAAGAATACATACAGTATAGCACTACACTCTACCCAGCAAAAATTTCAACATATGCTTTTCTACCAGCTTGAGCTTTTCACTACACCATCCAACAATTATAATTTAGAAAGTGACTTGCTTTCTTATAAAGGATTGTGAATGCAGAATGCATTCTAATAGGTTAAGGGGTAGGAGACATAACTTTCCACAGCGACTTTAGCAGGAGCTGCAAGGGAAGGAAAGATGAGAAAGGAATTATGCTGAATGAATTGGCTAAGGAGCCATACCCAACATGGATTAGCAGGAGATATCAGTATTTATGAAAGAGGGTTGTTCACATGTGTGATAAGCAAACCTGCATGCTGCATGCATCCCATGCTTACTTTGGATGATGACTTAACAGCAATATGCACTGCAACAAGCCCTTTAGTCACAAAATAGGGCTGGGACAGGAAGGCACTCAGATCCCAGACTCTTCAAGGTACAGAGGTTGGTCCCTTATCAGAAGAAAGTTGCTGAGATTAATCTCTTGTCCAATCAGTAGGTATAGATGGTGAAACAAGGGCTCTATTTCTCAGCATCTGAGAGGTGGATGAGTTGTTATTGTCTAAACATTGATTTATATATCAGACAGCATTCATGAATACATTTTAAACTAACTCTATAATACAATAAACGTTTGTAGTTTTACTTATTTATTTTTATAACATAGTAATTCTTCCACCAGCTGTCACTATGGGGCTGTTCTCAGTATTATCTGCAGTCATCTGTGAGTTTCTGGCACAGTTCCTGGGGGGCGGGGAATCTGCATGAGAAATTGAACTTTCCACATATGCATTTCCTGTGGGTGACCCTTTATCTTGTCTACTTTCAGCCTTCAGTTTTCTTGTTAATTACTTCTAATTTTATGTTCTTGCTGTCATACACAGCATTTTTCAAAGGCTGATCAAGATAATAATATGCATAAGTTCTGTTTATTCCTGAACATACTCATCTCATTCTGGAACATGGATTATGGGTGCAGGTGTAGTAGCAGTTAATCACTGTGAAGTTGCTTGCATGCATCTTGTCATCTTCCAGAATGCACCCACCATGGGACTGACACAGACAATCAAGCAGATGGAATTGCTCAGATGGTGAATGACAGACATTCCCATCACTAGTGACCCTAGCAGGGCTCTTCTTCCACAAGACCACCAGGCTCTTGCAGCCAGCAAATGAGACCAGTTTTGACCCTTGAGAGTGTGTCTGTCTTCAATGTGGCAAATCAATTTTTAGCAGAAGCTATTATTCCTGCTCAAATTCATGAATATGTTTGAATTCTTACCCAAAACGCCTCATCCAAAACAACCACCCAAGAGCTTGAAGTGTATCTACTCCAACTACAGGGAGTCATACTTCATTCCTGGCCAATGTCCCCGCTTCTCTAGAGCAGATTAATCATGGGATTCACCAGAAGCTGCTTGTGTTTTAGAGACCTTTATATGCCACAAAATTTTGGAGACCGTACCTTCGGGAAGGGGTATAAAAAACTTGAATTTGGATGAACCCTTAATCAAAATACATTTTATTGATCCTGGAATAATATGTGCAACTAAAAACGGCCTTACTCTCTTTCCCTCTAACTGGCATCATTCCTCATAATCCATTTGAACTTCTAGTGGTGTTTTAGTTAATTTAGGCTTGTTATGTCAAGAAAACATGGGATAGAATAGAAAAAAATGTGAATATATTTTTGACCACTGAAACACATTTATCGTTCTAGTTCAGAATGACAATTGTGAGGTAGGCTGTGCATGCATAAGAAAGGAGTATTGTAGACCCTCTGTACCTTCTGCTCAAATTCTCTATGATCTTATAATGTGCTTTAATGTTTTATGCAAAAGAGAGGCAGAGATATTTAGGAAGACATGTCTTAGGAGTTAGCCTACACTTCAACATATGATCACGTAATGTTGTTCCAATTTATCATCCATCATATTTGAAGCCACATGTTCCCCCAGTACCTTATTGAAAACCTTTGTATCATTGCCATTGGATGTTGTCTTTTCCAACTCTGTGAATTTTGCTTAAAGGTTGATTACAGAAAGTAATGTTTCTCAAATAATTAAAGTCTATATATGTTTCTATCTGTCCTTTTCCTTGGTTATGTAATGCCACTTTCAAAACAATCTTATTCTGACATCCCCTCAGCCCAGCACAGCATTATTTTCCTTTGGTTTCTCTGGCAATCTCAGGATGTGTATTTTCACTGTGTGTGTCTTGCACAGTATAGATGGCCATGTCTTCAGGGTTCAGACTCTTCGGCTTCATGTAAGCTGTGTTTTTGGATGTGTCCCTGGTTATGTTGACTCTGCCTTGGAACTTCTGTGCGTAATATGTGCTACCAGTACTAGGGTTGACCTATGCCATCCACTCCAGGCCTTGTCCAGGGGCCTGTCTCACACTGTGCATTCAGTAGTTGCTGAACATGTATTTGGAAACCTTGCAGGAAACCTTCACTGAAGCGCCAGGCTTCCTCAACTCAGACACAGACTGCACCAGCTGGGCCAGGGAGTGAGCACCTGTGTAGAGGAGACAGGTGTGAGTGAAATTCATCCTGCCTGATCTTGGTTAACTCCTCTCCCAGGATTGTGGATCCTCTTACCTGTAGCTGCCAAAAGATAATCCTCAAGTTCCAGTTCAGGGTGAGGAACAGTGTTTTCAGGACCTTCTATAGATGAGGATGTGTCATTGGG